AGGAGTCGCAGAGCAGAGCAATCTTTGGATTTGCTGGTTGTGGCTGAGATAAGGTGTGCGGTCTAGGATGATCATCGATGCTATGCTATTGTCAAAAGGAGCTCCATCTTCATGGGCAGGTAAGTTTTCCGAATTCAGAAGACTCCGTTCTCCATGGGTGGCTCAGTGAAGGATGTGCAGTTGCAAAAAGAGCTTGATAGTTAGGTATGGGTCATATGTACGAGTTGTCCAGTGAGCTGAGTCTCAACCTCCGAGTCAACTTGATGGGGTATGATTATTCGGTTTACAGACAGTCTCTGGTGGGATTTCTTTTCTTGACATCATCTACTGGGAAGGATTCTTTTGATCATGGCTTTTAACCAACCACCAAATACTTTTATTATTATATCTTCTCCATGACCAAAATATTGACGATGACAGCTACCAACCTTCATGGTCCATCATCTCAAGATGGTGGAAACAAAAGCAGAAAGCAGAAAAGAAAAGCAGAAAGCAAAAGAAGATAAAAATAAGCAGACATAATGGCGATAATTTATTTTTGAATGATGTAATTTATTTTTCTTATATTTCGGAGACATCTGTATAAACCCCATCAAAGGGTAATATGTATAAATCCTATCAGAGGGTAACAAAAAAAAAAGGCAAAGCCCAAAATAAATGGGCTGGAATGTTGTGTAGATGGCGAAGGCCCATAAGCTCAAAATAGCTCCAACCAGGCGATCAAAAATACACCTAGATCTCCAAAACTATTCAGCAACCCGCCGCTATTACCACCAACCAGGTGACCAAAAGTACGCCCAGTACTCCAAAATTATTCGGCAACCTGCCGCTATTACCACCAACCGGGTGATGAAATGTACAACCCGTACTCCAATATCATTTGGCAACTAGCCATTCATGCCACCAACCAGGTGATGAAATGTACAACTCGTCTTGGGGGACTACTGTTTATACCATATTTAGGTTCTCGTATTTAGATCTCGTACAAATACTTGGGGGACTTAAATGTAATTATGTGATAAAGGAATGTGCAAATATGTAATAAGTGATGAGTCATTATTCTATAAAATGACCCCTCACCCTCACAATTGGAGGAGGCCAATTCCTAAGGTTCCTCACCCTCTCAACGCTCTCACTTTCAGAGCTCTCTCTCTCCCTCACTTCTCAGAGAAATACAATACAATCAGTGTGGACGTAGCCCAAACCTCGGGGTGAACCACGATACATCTTGTGTTATTTACATTTCATGCAGATTCACGGTCGGATTTACGTTGTACCAAGACCTCCGGTTTTGTGCATCAACAACGTGTAACAAGTTCATTTCTTTGAATAACTTCAGTGCAGCTTTTCCTGCACCCTGGACTTCATATCCCGCAATCATGGAAGTATAAGTTACTTTGAATAAGCTTGGGGCTACTTTTAATTTTATGCTTACTACAAGGGCTTTTAGCACTAATTCCTACACTTAATCGCGTCTCATAGCCCATGTGACCTTCACTTCACAGCCTGATTAATGTGCTAAGCGCACTTATATGGCCCTTTGTCGAGCTAGAGTTTCTTTCTTAGGATGTACCTTTATCTTCACCGGTGGATTGGCAAACTTTATTGTGAAATTTTTTATGCGATTCCTGCTGTTCGTTACTAGTGAATGTAGCATTTATTAGTTATATAGTCTTGAGAAATGGATGAGCATCTTGTATTATTATTGTATAACTATAATAATAACAACATAAGTTTAAAAAATGAAATTTTATTTATTTATGTTTGTACCATACTTAGGGCCTCCGTATTTAGATCTCGTATAAATACTCGGGGGACTTAAATGTAATTATGTAATAAATGGAAGGGTAAATATGTAATAAATGAGGAGCCTCTATAAAAGGATCCTTCACTCTCACAATTGGGAGAGGCCAACTCCTAAGCCTGAAGCCCCCTCACCCTCTCACATCCCATCTCACATTACAGAAGTTCTCTCCATCACAATCCTCTCAGAGAAATACAATATCAGTGTGGACGTAGCCCAAACCTTGGGGTGAACCACGATACATCTTGTGTTATTTACATTCTTGCAGATTCACGGTCGGATTTACATTGTTCCAAGACCCCTCCGGTTTTGTGCATCATTGGTGCCGTTTGTGGGAATCGATACGAAAAGTTGTGTCGGTTCTCTTTCATCTTTTTCACCTCCGCCGTGAATCTGCGCCAGCTTTCATTTGCTGATTTCTGTCAGGACCAGGAGAGAGAAGAAAAATAATGTGTGGATCTCAGCCACACACTACCTCAACGCTCATCTCTTCTCTTCTCTGCTTTGCATCTCTGCGGTGGGTGCGTTGGCTCCTCCACTCGATGATGAGTATCACCCTTCCAACAGCAGATCTGGACAAGGCTTTTATTGATCCCTGGTTCCACCCTTCAACATGAAATCAGGACCAAATGACGGTTGACACTCTATTATGCCTCTTTGTTTAAGAAGCAAAGCAAGAGCACATTTTTGCATATTTCCAAAGGTACAGGCAGCAGACTACATTAAAGGGAATGCAAGCCCTTAAGAGAGCTCAAGCCCACCAGAGAAGAGGCTACATCGAGCATTTGAGGGATCCATTTGAAATATCGGTATTTTTTGTGATGTGTTTGCCAACACCGCAGGAAAAATCTCGCCAAAATGGTCTAAACTTCTTAAGCTTTCGTGCAGATTGAAGCACCGTGGACCTGACTGGAGTGGGCTGTACCAGCATGGAGATTGTTTTTTGGCTCATCAGAGTTTGGCCATCATTGACCCTGCTTCTGGTGATCGATTTGATCACTTATATATTTCATGCATTTATATCATCCATTTCTAAAGTCTTTGTGATGTTTTTGTGTTAAACTTGTGGCATTTTACCTTACCTTGTGTTAATGTGCAGTTAATTTTGTTTAGGATTAATCTCAAGCAAAATGGAGAGAATGGAATTGAAAATGGCTGCTTTTTGTTAGAGGGAGAGACACGGCAGACAAAGAGGGAGTGGAAGACTGATGGAATAAAAAGAAGAATAATAAAAGGGCAGTGGGAGAGACACTAAAGAGAAAACAATGGAGAAAAACAGGGAGTGGAAAGAAAGGCAAACGGAAATAATAGAAAGGAGGACAGTGCGGACAGCAGCAAGAATAAAAATAATAAAAGAAGAAGGATGAGGCAGACAGACGGATATGGAAGAATAAAAAAAGGAGGAGCAGAAACTTAATGGAAAGGGGGCGTCAGAGGCAGAATAGAAGGAGTGCGCAAGAGGCGCAAAAGAAGAAAAAGAAAGAAATATAGAAAGAGGGACTGAAGGGGGGAAAAGAGGAGGGCAGAGAGAGAGAAGGCGGGAGCAGCAGGGCAGAAGGTGAGACACGGACGGACGCAAAGAGGGAAAGGGAGCAGAAGCACAGTGGACAGACTGACGCACAGCAGAGGTGAGAGCAGTACATGCGCAGGAAAGAGACGGAAGTGCGCAGCAAGAGGAAGGCAGTGACCAGGCGCAGGGAAGTCAGGAGCAACGGAGAGCTCATCTCGTTAAAACGGGTGTTTTCTTTCTTTGTTATTTTGTTTTATGGATAATTTCTTATGTATGAACATAATTATGTGTAACTAATTTATTATGCTAGAGTGAGGCCATGAGCCACAACATGAATACGTAGTTTTATTTTTCAATTGCTTAAGTGTTGTTACATGCTTGCTTTGATATTTCAATCACTGAATTAAACTATCTATGTACCTTGATGCTTGATCACCATTAGGATGCTTAGAAAAGTTATTAGATGCAATTTTGAACGAATGTCACGTTAAAATTGATTGTGCTTCTTGTGATTGAAAATTATACTCTCCTAAGGTAAATATCATGCTCTTAGGGATTATATGGTTTAACAAAAGGATTTTCACAAAGATTAATGAATCACTCATGTTTATATTTAATCCAAATGTCATGGATAAGTTGCATGTGGTGGTATGCGTTTTAGCTTGAATGTCACAAGTAAAACATACACAAGGAAAATCCAACCATCAAAGCATGTGTGTTTTCAATTATTTAAGCAATTGGAATAGCTACGTAGGAGTGTTGTTGGTAAAAAGTTGAACTCTAGCATATTGTCAATCTATTTTTCTTCAATCATTTATTTTATCTTGAATTTCCTTATTTGCTTGTTTTGTTTAAGTTGAATCATTATTCCTATAAATCAATTCCTATTTTAGATATTTGTTTAATTCACATTCAGTAATATTTAGTTTCGTCAAATTAGTGTAATTCTTAGAGTTAAATAAGTTAATTACACAAAAACTCGTAAATTGTTTATATCAGTCCCTGAGGAGATCGACCTTGCTTGAGCCATTCTATACTACAAACACTTGTTCTCTTGCAAAAAATTTCTATGGTTTAACCCTTTGTTTTACAAGTGGTAAAATCGCTATCAAGAAATTGGCGCCGTTGCCGGGGACTGTGCCAACAGTTCCCGAGTTTTTGTGTTTATTTTTTCTTATGCTTATGTTTATGTCTTATTTTTATTAATCATTAAAAAAAATTAATTTAAAAAAAAAAAATTATTTAAAGAATCATTCTTGATTAACTTTGGTACCGTAATAATGTTGTATATTTGCGTTAGAAATCTGTTTATGTATCCCTTTCACAAATTTCTGTTTTAAATCACATAAAATTAAAAAAAAAAATTTATTATATTAAAGTTAAAAAAAAATTTAAATTTAAAAAAAAAAAATTTATTTAAAATTAAAAAAAAAAAACAGCTATTAATTTAGTGAGTTTTGATCTTTTATTAAGTGTAGTGGATGTGTGGTGTGAGATTTTTGTTTTCGTTTAATTAACTAGTGGTTGCCAATTTGCATAATTTGTGTTTTTAATTCATCTAGGTTTACTTACTTTCTTTTTGTTTTTGTTTTTTGTTGTTTAGTTAGTTTCTGTTAAGTTTTATTTTATTTTACTTTTATTTTTTATTGTGGCTTAATATTTCTATTGTTTGTTCAGGTGTAGTATATGGTGATTGGAACAAGGTCCAAGAATCAAGTGCTTATTCCTTATGACCCTGAACCAGAGAGAAGTGCAAGGAAGTTAGCTAGAGAAAAATATTTAGCACAAGATTCCAACCTTGGTGATACTTTTCTTAAGGATTTGTTCCGTGATCCTGAGAGCGGCACATCTATTTTCCAACCTTTGATACCAGTTGCACACATGGCCCTAGCCTTACCTGCAGCAGGTCAACCTTTAAGGAATTCATTGGCGGCGAGAATCAATGCAGTGCCGAGGTGCATTATATATCCAGATGTGGAAGATGGGACATCCTTTGAAATCAAACCTCACATCCTCAACATATTGCCCTCCTTTCATGGGTTGCCAAACAGTGATCCCAACATGCATTTGGTTGATTTTATTGAGGCATGTGACAACACCATAATCAGAGGTTTCTCTTCTGAAGCTATCAAGTTACGTTTGTTCCCGTTCTCTTTGAAGGACAAAGCCAAGGCATGGCTGCATTCTCTGCCTGCCAATAGCATTACAACATGGATAAAATTGCAAGAAAAATTTCTCAATAAGTTTTTTCCTTCTTCCAAGATGCTTGCACTCAAGAAAGAGATATTGGCTTTCGCTCAAAAGCCAAATGAGTCTTTCCATGAAGCTTGGGAACGGTATAATGAGATGTACACAAAATGTCCTCATGCTGGGTTTGATTCTAACCTTCAAATGAACATATTTTATGATGGTCTCAATGCCACCACCAAGAGTCACGTGAATGCATCTGCTGGAGGGTCATTAATGTCAAAATCAGCAAGGGAAGCATTTGAGTTGTTTGATATGATGGCTTCTGAATCCCAACAATGGACAGAAGAACAAACACAAAAGAGGGGAGTTTTTGAGATTTCTCATAGTTATCCTAATGTTTCTGCTCAAATTGCTAAAATGGAAAATAATTTTAATGCCAAATTTGCTGCCTTAATGCAGGTATCTTCCATGCCCAATGCCCAAGAACCGTGCATCATTTGTAGTGAGACAACTCATGACATCACTCAATGCCCCAACAAGGATAGCTACCCTGAGCTTGTGCAAGAGCATGTGAATATGGTGAATAATTTCATTAGACCCAGAAGTGACCTTTATTCAAATACATATAATCCTGGGTGGAAGAACCATCCCAATCTCAGTTGGGGCGGCAACCAACAGCCACGTCAATACCAACAGTCTTACCAACCAACTGGTGAGACTAAGAAACCATCTCTTGAAGACCAAATGTCACAGCTAGCTCAACATATGTCCGCTCTCTCTACTAGCACCAACAGTTTTGTCCAATCCACACAAACTAGCATTCAGAATCTCACGGCATCAGTGGGGAATTTGGAGACTCAAGTTGGACAGCTTGCTACCATGTTCAATGAAAGAGAGAAAGGAAAGTTTCCAAGCCAATCTGAGCAAAATCCAAGAGGGATGGAGCATTGCAAAGTAATACGGACATTGAAAAGTGGCAAGAGCTATGACAACAGAGAAGTGGAGCACCATGAAGCCAAAGTGGAAGAAGAAGAGCTTACTGAAAGTGCACCATTAGCTGCAAAGTCTCGGTCAGAGGCTATTTCTGAAGCAAGTATTCCAGATCCTAGTGCAAATGACAATGTGCAATCTCGACGCAACTCTGATGCAAACAAGGAAAAAGGCCTTGGTATTTTATTTGCACCTTCTGACAAGCCACCATACAAGCCACCTTTGCCATTTCCACAAAGGCAGCAACAACGTTCCAAGGATCAACAATGCATTGAATTCATGAAGACGTTGGCTAAGGTTCAAATTAATTTGCCTCTATTAGATGCTATTAAACAGATCCCATCATATGCCAAATTTCTGAAGGAGCTATGTTCTAAAAAGAAAAAGTTCTTGGAATACGAGAAGGTGATTTTATCTGAGCAATGCAGTGCTGTCCTCTTACATAAGCTACCACCCAAGAAGAAAGATCTGGGGAGTTTCACTATCTCTTGTACTATTGGTAGTCTTGATTTTCATAAAGTATTGATTGATTTAGGAGCAAGTGTTAACCTTATGCCTTATTCTGTTTTTCAAAAATTAGGTGAAGGAGAACTCAAGCCCACATCTGTGAGTCTTCAATTGGCAGATAGGTCCGTGACCTATCCTTTGGGTATTTTGGAAGATGTGATTATTAAGGTGGATAAATTCTATCTCCCAGCTGATTTCATTGTACTTGACATGGAGGAAGACAAGGAAGTGCCTCTCATTTTAGGCCGACCATTCATGGCCACCGCCCGGACACTTATTGATGTGCAAGCAGGTACTTTAACCTTAAGAGTGCAAGGAGAGTCAGTTGTATTCAAACTTTTTGAAGCTGTCAAGCGTCCTTTCGAACCTGAAGAGTGTTTTCGTGTTGATGTTTTGGATGGGATTGTGCATGCAAACTTTGCCTCACGATCATCTAATGATGAGCTGTTAACTTGCCTCACCAACCATGATGCTATTTTATCTATGGAAGAAAATGTGGTGGACGTCATCGCTGCATTGGATAGTGCACCAATTCATAATCCAAAGTGGCGACATGTTTATGAAAGCCTTGGAGAACCTAAGCAGCCCCTTCTTCCTTCAAGTGAGCAAGCTCCGAAGTTAGAGCTCAAGCTACTGCCGAGCCACCTCAAGTATGCTCATCTCGGGGTGAATGAGACCTTACCTGTTATTATTGCTGCTAATCTTAATGACACGGAGGAAGACAAATTACTAAGAGTTCTTCGCAAGTATCAAGATGCTCTGGGGTGGACACTTGCTGACATAAAAGGCATTAGTCCAGCTTTGTGCATGCATAGGATTTTTTATGGAGGCTGGGACTAAACCAACTGTTGAAGCTCAAAGACGTCTAAATCCGATCATGAAGGAAGTCGTAAGAGTTGAGGTGATGAAGTTACTCGATGCAGGTATCATTTATCCAATCTCGGATAGCAAATGGGTAAGCCCGACTCAGGTGGTTCCAAAGAAAACTGGTATTACTGTGGTGAAGAATGATAACAACGAGCTTGTGCCTACAAGGATGACCACCGGATGGCGAATGTGTGTTGACTATAGAAAGCCCAATAACAGCACTAGAAAGGATCATTTTCCGCTGCCATTCATTGATCAGATGCTCGAGAGACTAGCTGGTCATTCTTTCTATTGTTTCTTAGATGGGTATTCAGGGTACAACCAAATTCCAATTGTCCCTGAGGATCAAGAGAAGACAACATTTACATGCCCTTTTGGTACATTTGCATACAGACGAATGCCATTTGGATTGTGCAATGCCCCTGCCACTTTCCAACGATGCATGATGAGTATTTTTTCTGGAATGGTTGAAAATATTGTTGAGGTTTTTATGGATGACTTTTTTGTTTTTGGTAATTCTTTTGATATATGTTTGGATAACTTGTCTTTGGTTTTGGAAAGATGCAGGGAGACTAATTTTGTGTTAAATTGGGAGAAATGCCATTTTATGGTTAAGCATGGCATTGTGCTAGGACATCTAATTTCAAGCAAAGGAATAGAGGTCGACAAGGCAAAGATTGAGGTGATCGTCAAATTACCACCACCAACTTCTGTGAAGAATGTGAGATCTTTCTTGGGACATGCTGGTTTTTATCGAAGATTCATCAAGGATTTTTCCAAAATTAGTCGTCCTCTTTGTAATTTACTTGCTAAAGATGCTTGTTTTGATTTTAATGCAGATTGTCATGATGCTTTCAACAAATTGAAGGATCTTCTCACATCAGCCCCAATTATAACAGCTCCAGATTGGACCCTTCCTTTTGAGCTCATGTGCGATGCTTCCGATTACGCTGTGGGTGCTGTTCTTGGTCAGCGACGTGACAAGCTCCCCCATGTTATATATTATGCCAGCCGCACTTTGAATGATGCTCAGCTGAATTATGCCACTACAGAAAAAGAATTACTTGCAGTGGTATTTGCTCTTGAAAAGTTTCGATCGTACTTAGTTGGTGCTAAAGTCATTGTGTATTCTGATCATTCTGCTCTCAAATACTTATTGTCTAAAAAAGAGGCCAAACCACGATTGCTTCGATGGGTCCTTCTCTTGCAAGAGTTTGATTTGGAGATCCTAGATAAAAGGGGACGTGAAAATGTTGTGGCGGATCATCTCTTAAGATTAGTAAATGCAAGCATTGATGAGGCAGATTCATTGCCCCTGCAAGAGAGCTTTCCAGACGAGCAACTTCTAGCAGTTACTCATCAAGTACCATGGTATGCTGACATCACAAATTATTTGGCTTCTGGAGAAATACCATCAGAGTTCAGTTACCAACAAAGGAAGAAATTTCTCTCCACTGTAAAACACTACTTTTGGGATGAGCCATACCTTTTCAAGCATTGCCAAGATCAAATCATTCGTCGGTGTGTCCCCTTAGAAGAACAAGAAAGCATTTTGAAGTTTGCTCACCACTATGCATGTGGTGGTCATTTTGGACCAAGAAGGACAGCGGCCAAGATCTTACAGAGTGGTTTCTTTTGGCCATCGTTATTCAAAGATGCATACCTATGCTGCCAGGCTTGTGATAAGTGTCAACGAGTTGGAAATCTTTCTCAAAGAAATGAGATGCCCCAACAAAGTATTTTGGTGATTGAATTATTTGATGTTTGGGGTATAGACTTCATGGGACCTTTCCCTTCTTCACATGGCAATCTCTACATCTTGGTGGCGGTTGATTATGTTTCTAAGTGGGTGGAGGCAATAGCTTCTCCAACATGCAAAAGTTATGTGGTGTTAGGTTTTTTGCAGAATACTATTTTTCCCCGATTTGGAGTACCTCGTGCTATCATCAGTGACGAAGGTACGCATTTCTTAAACCGCACCATGGCTACCCTTTGTGCCAAGTATCATATTCACCATCGCATAGCCACTCCATACCATCCACAGACATCTGGACAAGTTGAAGTATCTAATCGGGAGCTCAAGAGGATTCTTGAGAAAACTGTTAGTTCATCTCGAAAGGATTGGAGTTTAAAGCTTACTGATGCTTTGTGGGCATATAGGACAGCTTATAAGACACCAATTGGGATGTCTCCTTTTCGTTTGGTGTATGGGAAAGCTTGCCATCTACCTATGGAACTTGAGCGCAAGGCATATTGGGCCATTAAGCATCTCAATTTTGACTACCAAGCAGCGGGAGAGAAGCGGAAGTTGCAGTTGAATGAACTTGAAGAAATAAGGAATGATGCTTATGAGAATGCAAGGATTTACAAGGATAAGACCAAGAAATTTCATGATGCTCACATCCTTCGTAAAGAGTTTCAACCGGGCCAGAAGGTTTTACTTTTTAATTCAAGATTGAAACTATTCCCAGGAAAGCTCAAATCACGTTGGAATGGTCCATATCTTGTTGTACAGGTTCATCTTCATGGGGCTGTGGATATCCAAAACATGCAAACTGGTTTTGTTTTCAAAGTTAATGGACATCGCTTGAAGTTATACAAGGAGTCTCCATATGATCTTGCTAAGGATTCCATCACTTTGAAGGAACCTGTTATTTGAATCAAACTGCCAACAGAATGTCTAGCTCTAGACAGTAACTAAAGCGCTTCTTGGGAGGCAACCCAAGCTTTCTATCTTTCATTTTTATTTTGAATAATTTTAAATGTTCTTGTTCTGTTTTTCTCTTGTTTTCTGGTTTGTGTGTTTAAGTCCTACTTTTGTTCCTTTATGCAGGTAATGATTTTGCAATCTCTACCACAACTTCTTGTAAGATATTTTTTTTTCATTCATAAAAAAAAAGGGGGGAAAGGAACATTGAACAGATAAATACAAGAAGGAGCCTTCACAAAGGCTGTTTAGGAGGAGCTTCAGTAGTCGGCGGGGCCTCAGCAGTCGGTGGGGCCACAGAAGGAGGAGGCATCAGAGGTTGATCATTTAGAGCTTCACTACGCGGTACAGCCCCAGAAGACGAAGGCAAATGCTGTTGGAACAAACCCACGAACCTCCGATGATCAAGCAAAATCTGACCATCAGATTCCTGTATCTGGTCAATTTTCCTCTTCATGTTGGTGGCATAGTTGTGTGCGAGCTTGTGCAACTATTTATTCTCATGCTTGAGCCCTCTAATATCTTGCTTGAGGCTCATCACTTCAGCCGCCAACGATTCAACTTGACGGGTTCGGGCAAATAGGCGTTGGGCCATGTTGGACACGGAACCTGCACACTGCACACTAAGAGCCAGAGACTCATTGACAGCCAATTCATCAGACCGTCTTGAAAGCAGTCTATTATCTTTAGGAGTGACAAGGTTCCGGGCCACCACCGCAGCTGTCATGTCATTCTTCATCACCGAATCCCCAACGGTAAGGGGGCCAGTAAGGGATATGAAGGATGGGCGCCATATGTTGTCTGGAGAAGGTGGAGCTGCCTCTTCACCAAGGTTCAAGTCAAAACGACGATCAGAAGGGCCAGACATTTTTCAGAGGTGGTAAAGAAAGAAGAGGTCGAACAAGTCAAGATCGTAGAAATGCAAAGAGGGAGTTTTTGAAGGCAGAAATTCAAGTGTGCTTTGAACGTCCTGCATACCTCTATAAAAATCAGCACGCGATGGGATTTCGGTGATCGAAGAGGCAATTCCAAATTTCGAAGAGGCTAACTAAAAAAATCAAAAGAATCGCTAGCTTTCTCAAAAGCTGAGCTTGCTCAGAAACCACGGCAAATCTTCTTTTCCAGATTTGTCCACACTCGTCACATGCACCTCTGCACTCGACGGAGCTCAAATTTCGAAGAGGCAAGCTCAGAAATCGGAGAGGAATCTGCCTTAACCAGACGTGTCGTCACTCGTCACATGCAACTTGCAGCTTTGCGGAAATTACGGGCAGCTTTGTCTGAAAGCGCGTAATTTGTACTATTCATCCATCCACCGGCTGCCGACAATGAGTGAGAGAATAGTTCCGGTTGTAAAGAAAAGTTCTATAAGTATCTACCTTCGCCTTCCACAGCAAAGGCACACCCTCTCAGCACTCCATCATCTCCGAGAATGCCTTTCCAACAAACCCTCTCCAGTCACTCCGTGTTCCTTATTCCTTGGGGTACCTCTACAATCAACCCATCCAAAGCAAAAGTATTTCATATCATGAAGGTTGAAAGCAAGAGTATCTCATATCATGCTTTCTCCCTGTCCTTCTCCTTGTCGTTGTTTTACGACAAGGAGAATGAGAGCAATCAGCCAGCACTTGGTATTAATCTTCCGATCTGGAGCCAACTGCCTGGAACCCCTTCCTGATTGCTTACCTAGCCTTGCTCTCGAGTACTCATCTTCATCATCTTGTGCTTTCTCTTCGTCTACCACATCTGCTTGGGGGACAGATAAGGGATGTGAAAATGATACCTCGAAGCATGTGGAGACAATTCAGCTAGGGACAAGGAGAAAGAAAGCAAGAGGTGGGCACTTGGAAAGATTGAAGAAAGAAACAGACCCATACCTCTTCCTTGTGCCAGCCCGCGGTGCAGAAGAAACAAGCAGAGAAGAATGCAGACTGCACAATTCAGAGTTCCTTGGTTTCAAATCAGACTCCGAGATTCGCCTACACAAATTGGTGTGTTCTTTCCTTTTATTTATGTGTCTTTATTTCATTTTATATTTCTTTCCTTCCATTTTCATGTCTTATTGTTCAAAAATTCCTTTTATTATCATTGGGGACAATGCTATAATTAAGTTTGGGGGTGGAAATATATTTCGTTAGTTTATTTCTTTAAATTAAAAAAAAAAAAATTTGCATTTTTATTGTTGTTTGTAGCTACTTCTCAATTCAATGATGAGATTTGTTTTTAATTTCCTTCTTACTTTCAAGAAAGTCTAAGTTCTTTTCGTTGTCTTTGTGTTAACTGTGATTTCCAGAAATCAACTTGAAAAATAAATGTGCCTAGTCTTGTCAATGTGAAACTTGAGCATGATTTAGCGTTTCATATGTGAATCATGTGAGATTATGTAAACCTTGTGAGTTTTTGAGCCTATACATGATTGAACCATTATGCATCAATCTCATTCCTTCTTGTGCGTATGATCTCACTGTACATGTATCTCTAGAACTTGCTTTATACTACTCGATTCATTAATCAATTCATGTAATAACTTGGAAGTGATATAGGCCATCTTTGGATCATTTGAGCCTTTCATGCCTACCTTTTATGCTATGTTTATCCGTAATAGCCCATTGAGCCTTTAACTAAGCCATTTCTTTGTTAACCACATCTCTTTACCTTGCTCCAATATTGGAGTTGAGCCCATACACAAATCAATTCCCTATTGTTTTGAGAAAGTATTACATGGGTTGTGCTTTTGGGGGTTTCATTTATGTAGAAAGATGGATGGAGCATGTGTATTACAATGAAATGTGAATTTGATGGGTGATGTAGCTTTTGCAGATTTGTTTCTCTCATTAAAAAAAGAAAAAAAAAAGAAAAAAAAAAGAAAAAAAAAGAAGAAATATATGAAAATTGGAGAGTGTTGATTTGTTGAAAATGTGTCAGTAGAGTATAAATTTCATTTTAAATTTAAATTTGGGGAGTAACGGGTGCTCGAGGTTTTATTATTTTGCTTTCAATTTGAGGTGGTATGATATTGAGGTGTTGGAAAACTACCAAAGTGTACTTTCTCAAAATTTTTGATTTCCATATCCTTTCTTTCATTAGCCTATCACCTTAAGCCCCATTACAACCGTAATAAAGTCCTATTGATCCAAGGTATTACTTAAATATTGATAAGCGAGTTAGGTGGACAAGCAAGCATATGGCGGCATGTACAATGAGATCACTTGAGTGAAACACATTAACCAAAACTTATGAGTGAATGAGCGTATGTCTTGTGAGAAACTCACATGTTTGCATATGATGATTTAAAGGAGCTTGGAATTGCATTGAGATGGCTAGCTCACACATGGCTTTTCAACGTTTTTGTTTGAAGGAAATTTGGTTAACTATTGGATGATGTTTTGAGCTCTTGCTTACTTCTTGGCAGTGTATTTCATGATTAACACTTATCTCTGAAATCGTAATTGAGAAGTTGCCTACTAAGTTGTTGAATCTAGTCTTAGTTGAGTGGTTTTGTTTTGTGTTTTGTTTTGCTAGAGGACTAGCAAAAATGCAAGTTTGGGGGTATTTGATCACTTATATATTTCATGCATTATACCATCCATTTCTAAAGTCTTTGTGATGTTTTTGTGTTAAACTTGTGGCATTTTACCTTACCTTGTGTTAATGTGCAGTTAATTTTGTTTAGGATTAATCTCAAGCAAAATGGAGAGAATGGAATTGAAAATGGCTGCTTTTTGTTAGAGGGAGAGACACGGCAGACAAAGAGGGAGTGGAAGACTGATGGAATAAAAAGAAGAATAATAAAAGGGCAGTGGGAGAGACACTAAAGAGAAAACAATGGAGAAAAACAGGGAGTGGAAAGAAAGGCAAACGGAAATAATAGAAAGGAGGACAGTGCGGACAGCAGCAAGAATAAAAATAATAAAAGAAGAAGGATGAGGCAGACAGACGGATATGGAAGAATAAAAAAAATGAGGAGCAGAAACTTAATGGAAAGGGGGCGTCAGAGGCAGAATAGAAGGAGTGCGCAAGAGGCGCAAAAGAAGAAAAAGAAGAAATATAGAAAGAGGGACTGAAGGGGGGAAAAGAGGAGGGCAGAGAGAGAGAAGGCGGGAGCAGCAGGGCAGAAGGTGAGACACGGACGGACGCAAAGAGGGAAAGGGAGCAGAAGCACAGCAGAGGTGAGAGCAGTACATGCGCAGGAAAGAGACTGAAGTGCGCAGCAAGAGGAAGGCAGTGACCAGGCGCAGGGAAGTCAGGAGCAACGGAGAGCTCATCTCGTTAAAACGGGTGTTTTCTTTCTTTGTTATTTTGTTTTATGGATAATTTCTTATGTATGAACATAATTATGTGTAACTAATTTATTATGCTAGAGTGAGGCCATGAGCCACAACATGAATACGTAGTTTTATTTTTCAATTGCTTAAGTGTTGTTACATGCTTGCTTTGATATTTTCAATCACTGAATTAAACTATCTATGTACCTTGATGCTTGATCACCATTAGGATGCTTAGAAAAGTTATTAGATGCAATTTTGAACGAATGTCACGTTAAAATTGATTGTGCTTCTTGTGATTGAAAATTATACTCTCCTAAGGTAAATATCATGCTCTTAGGGATTATATGGTTTAACAAAAGGATTTTCACAAAGATTAATGAATCACTCATGTTTATATTTAATCCAAATGTCATGGATAAGTTGCATGTGGTGGTATGCGTTTTAGCTTGAATGTCACAAGTAAAACATACACAAGGAAAATCCAACCATCAAAGCATGTGTGTTTTCAATTATTTAAGCAATTGGAATAGCTACGTAGGAGTGTTGTTGGTAAAAAGTTGAACTCTAGCATATTGTCAATCTATTTTTCTTCAATCATTTATTTTATCTTGAATTTCCTTATTTGCTTGTTTTGTTTAAGTTGAATCATTATTCCTATAAATCAATTCCTATTTTAGATATTTG